GCACTGTGAATTTTTAAAAATTTACCAAGAAACGATAAAAAAAACTTCTGTAGTTAAGTTTTCTTTGTAGCAGTCTCCTTTGTTATCCAACGTTGATACAAATAATATAATACATTGAAATGAATCACTATCTCATGTACGGAGGAAAAAATCGAAACGATCTTACAATCTTTGCTGCAAAATTGTTTCGAGATATAGATCAATACATGAATCTGAAAAGAATACGTAAAATTTCTTTTGGAAAATTTCCTAAAGCAAAAAAAAAAAAAAAAAAAAGGGAAATCAATTGTAATTCAGTAAACGCGATGAATAACTTGGCGGATACAAAATTCCATGTATCGCGCAAAGCATCAAATTATCCGCATCAATTCTTCTTCTTCTTGCTTCCAAATTCAAAGAAATTATCGAATTGATTATCGTACGAAGCGATTAAAGAGCAGCACAGCCGCACAGACGCTTAATTTTCCAATCGATCAGCGAAGAGAAAAGCCGAGTGAAAAAAGAAAGGACTGGAAAGGATCGACGAACCGGACTCGATCAATTTTATGTCCCCCGGATCGACCGATTGTCCGATGGTGGCACGAAAGAGAGACGAGTAAAGAGGAGAGGACCGAGACCTTGCTATGCACCTGCTCTCAGGTGTACGTCCGCACCTTCCATCCGCGCGTGCAATGCATCTTTCTTCCCTCTCCTTTCATCTTATCGTTCCGTTCCGTTCCGTTCCTTCCCTCTTTCGTTCCCGTGTTCTCTTCCCGATACTCGTTTCGAAACATTGCGACGATGTTAATCCTTAGTTAAAGATTCCATGGCCAAACGTTGATAGCGATATCGCTCAAGGCCGATAAACAACATTAGCGAGTGGTTCGTTTCGTCTCCTTTCCCCGTTAAAGAAATTTCGGCTAATTAAAATGTTGATGAATTTATTATCGACAATGCTATTTTTGAAATCGATCCAGTGACCAGGTGTTTTCGATTTTTGATATTGTCACGTGGATATGCTGCTTTTACCTCGACGATTCATTCAGTGTTTTTTTTTTTCTCCACGTGACGATAAATAACTTGAATCTTTGAATTTGAAGAAATAACATGGCAGAACCAGTCTTCTAATTCAGTCAGAATAAGATAATTATTAGGGATATGCCTGGAATGAAATTATAAAAGAATTGAGTTTTTTCAGTTGGACGATATATTTTGAGGTAAATGAAAAATCTGTGTCAAACACGATTAAGAATAGAAAGCACGTACCAGACAATATAAGATCTCGTAAATTAAAAGCGTGACGAATAGAAACCAGTTCATTAATATGTATGACTGTAACTGCGGTTTTTAATAACTTCTATGATAGTTAACCGCAAGCCGAGTTACAATGAAACGGTTCCTTCGTCACAAACACAATATGATTCTCACGGACCTTGTGTCACCGCATTTGCAGAATCTATTAAAATCTTAAAGTTATTTAATCTCTCTGTCTCTCTCTCTCTCTCTCTTTCGTTTCATTATTGTGAAACAAATGTTATAGCTATTTGCAAAATATTTCATCATTTGTAATTAAATATTATTTTAATTAATTACATTACAAGTAATTTTTTTGAAAAATTATATTTGACAAGTATACCACAAGTATTCAGCCGTCATATTTAGATGATTAAAATGGATAAACAATATTTAATATTTTATTAATTGTTCAATCAATTATTCAAATATAAAAACTGATTGATTGATTGATTGTTCAGCGAGAAGAATACAATTAGTCATACAATGCGACACGACATTCTTTTAAATTCTTTAGACAGTTTGATTGGTTAATTAATCAGTGGAGGTGCAATCGATCCACGATCTCCTCGAGGACACGTTGCAACCACGACTGACAGGTGTTCCTGTACAGTGGCGAATAATTTTCTTCGTTTCTCGGAGGTTACTGGCTGAATACCCCGGAATTTCCGGTCTTTCAAGCAATCAACAGTGGTTTGTTTCCTCGATAGGTCTCGCTGAAGATTAATTTTGATGCAACTTCTCGATCAATGTCCATATCTTGAATTCACACATTTTTCAACGTTAATTGACCCTTCATTAAACTCTTGTTTCACTGTTCACTGAATGAACGATAAGTTACAAATTCAATCTGTTTAATGTTTTTATTAGCTGATCAAAATTATCGATCAAGATCACGAAGTATATAAATAATCACAAGATTTTAATAGATACATGATTCTGTTAATATTTATTAGTTTACTATTTGTCTTTGTGATTACCTTGAAACATCTTGATATCAATCAATCATAATTGATGATTTTTATTAAAAGACCAAGTGATCAACTCCATTATCTGAAAATACATTAATTTTAATATAATAATACATTATAAATAATTAGGAAAAATTAATTCAAAAATTAAGAATAAAAGAATATCTTATTGTTAATTTTTATTCTTTTATTCTAATTAATTGATTAAATGGTTTTATAAAATTATGTAAAAATTATTATTTAAAAATTAGAATTTTGATACCATCGAAAAGATTTTTTATGGATTAGTCGAATGTATGAGTTTAAAAAGATGCGTTTCCATGGACAGACAGGATGTTATCCTCTGGAATCAACAGGTGAATCGTCTCGTAACAAGAATATTCCCCGTCGCCATGTCCAACTGAAATTTAGCCAATTATAGAGACAACGATCGTCAGCGCGTGATTAAATTTCGATTGACGGGATGTTGGCACGTTTTATATTTCCACTCAATCCTGATGAGAAAAATTAGAAATAGATCAGATACAATTTATAATTATGATAAAATTTTTTTAAAAAATAAAAAATCCTTCCTGATTACCTTTCTAATTTTAATCAATTCGATTACTGTTCCTTTCACTTAATTATTATATGAATATTATGACATTTTTGATACATTGATATCATGTATCTTTTTCCCAATCATCTTTCTTTGATTCTCACCCATTCAAAAAAACATTCAATTTAAAAACTTCACTTTAACTCTCCATCGTGCTTAATCACTAAACATCTTCTATCCTGTATAACCAATGCGATTTTTCACGAGGCTGAATAATGGATGATAACCTAAAATGATATTAACAATGAATTCAAATTGCAAAAGGAATTTAAAAAAAAAAGATATTATAACAGTATAATTATTGAACTTAATTTTATTCTTACCTACTAATAGTTTCCCTCCAATTCTAAAAAAAAAAAAAAAATAGGCGATCACCGTTAGTTCCAACGTATGGTAACCGTCGAGACACGGGTCAGTTGCGAAAAGCCCATCTCCCAGTCTGTTGTTCAGCTGCATTAGAATTCAAGGCGCAATTATTAGCGGGCTAATTATAATTAGGGTGGCGATACAACCTGTTGGATATTGTGTCCATGCCGATGTTGATCGCATCGAAACTCAGTGGGCCGTGTATGCGACGGTTCCCCGCGCTTTTTCGTCGCCAATTACATATTTCTGCCAGCACGGTTCGCCTACTAACGAATTGGAACTTTTATTTTGGCGTGTGAACGAATGAAAGAATGAAGGAATGGAAAAAAAAAAAAAGGAAAAAAAACGGAGGAGAACCGAAATTAACGGAGTGAAACGGCACACCTAACCCTAGCCCTTCAAGTTTCGTTCAACGCGGCGATCCAGCGGGACACCGATTCGAGAAAGGAAGTCGTAGCATGATGTCGGCCTGACTATGTTTAGAACGCGGCTTCACCCCGATATTTGCATATGTATTAAGCTGTTCCTTTTTACGTTCGACCGTAGCGTGAACACGTGAAATTGCGCGAGTTTTCGGTTTCAAGAGAGAATCATAATTCTTGGGAGGAAAAATTAAATGAAAATCGAGAGAGGATCGAGCAATTTGAGTGAAACGTTAATATTATAAAATCTCTAAAACTTGATAACACTCAATGGGGCTTGATCATCATTGATCATCATAAATCGTATTGTTAAAAAATGTTTTTTTTTTCAAACCGTTATTTTATTAATTTCAATGGCGTGAAAATTTTATTTTCAATATTCCGATTTAACCATTCATTGAAGATTTATTTTTTTTTAAATAACGAAAAATCATTAAGAATCGATAGAAAGAATTTTTTGAATAATATAAGAAAAAGCAATAAATAAGTATGATTGACGATATTATGAATCTCATGAATTAACAATGTCTCCCAAAAGGGAGCAATGGAACGGAAGAAAAAAGGATTATCGTATCCCAATTATAATTAATCTCCTCGTAATTATAGGGCTCCTGCTATCGCGTGAGATTATTGATACGCCAGATGCGAGATTTTAACGTGGCCAATTAGTGTCGAAGAAGCGGAAAGCATATCGTTCGATACAAGCCCGACCGATATCACGACTGCTATATCGAATATAGGATGAAAAAAATATATAGCTACCCAATAAATTTGCTTATCATGCATTATTATAGAATTCGTTCTCTTCTCTTTATAATAAATCTTCTTTTTTTATTTTTCATATAAGTACTTCTGTGAATTTGAATTCCATTAATTAATATTACAGTTCCTAAAAAAAAAAAAAAAAAAATTAACAATCTTTGATAATAAACCAACGACAACCGCATTATTTTCTCGTTTCTTTTTTTTGTTCATTTTAATATAAATATAAACATGCAAATTATCAATGATTACATCAATATTTAGTAGATAAATATTAATTACATATTCTAAAACTTTTGGATTTATAAAAATAAAAATTTTCGTAATCCTTACCACTAAATATATTCTTCAAGAAAACATTTCAAATTTTTGATATAATTTGCAAATGATCGAAATAAATATTACTCTAGCGATCACAAGTCCAAAGCGAAATTTTCTGTTATTATATATATATATATATATAATATTTCATCATAATAAACCACATATCGAATTTCAAAATATTGTTTCCCGAGTTATTATCAGCCGATGATTTTTGCACAGATGTCAAGCTTTGTTCCTTAGATGTTTATCCAGCTAACCTCAAATACAGTTACGCGTTCGTAGCTGATGGAACAGGTTTAACGTGCACAACGTTGACAGAAAGCTTGTGAACTTGTTGTCTTTCCGTACAGACAATTAATGACGTTGTAAGTCGCGAGGCTCGTTTGCGATCATGGAATAAATACCGCACGTGGATTTCGCGTAGAAGAAGAAGAAAGAAGAAAGAGGGAGAGGTAGAAGCACTCTTTGCGGGCGGGTCAATTAACGGCATCGTTAAGCGGCGTGACTCGCTTGTAATCACGAGAAGGATTTCACCGAAAGAAATGGAACAGCGTGTACGCTCCTCTTGTTATTGAATTAATTAATAAGCATTGTAAGCCTCGACCTAACGGCCAGTGAAGTTCACTTTCTAAAGAGATTCGAGATTTCCAAGATGTAGTAATTGAGATTCACCATTATTCCTCTTTATTCTTTTCCATTTCTTCGTTCTTCCTTCTCTGGTGTAAAATAATAGATTAGTAAAAATGGATTAAGACTAGTAGACTAATTATTGCATTTGAATCGATAATACCTTCTCTTAATTTCACATTTCACATATCTCTTTAGGCTCATAGAATACTTTCACTTTCTATGCTTTGTAATTCTGCTTATACAGATACTTGTTAGATTGTTAAAGTAAAAATTGAAGAATGGAGGATGCAGAAGAAAAATCATTATTTCGTGATGATGTACGTTGTCGAATAATTTGTAATTTCTAAAAGTATACGTTATCTGAAACATAATACCATAATCAGTCGAAAGATTCAATAAAATAATAAAAATATGATACAATTAAAAAAGAAAAAAGTAATTGTTTCTTTGAGATCAAAATAATTAACCAATTTGTTTTTTGTAAATTAGAGAACGAAAGAAAGGAGGATAACGAAAGAGAGGAAGAAAGGTTGGCCCGGATAGGATGACCTTGAAAGAAGGTTCCTCGAGTGAGGAGCGCCGAAGGGTCTTCCACGGAGAGCAGCAACGAGGCAGAGGAGAAACTGGGTAGCGAGACGGTGTAGATACGCGTAAGGAAGCGTAACGCCTACGTAGAGCCGAGCCTCTGACTCGCGACTTCCGGTCAAGCGGCAGGAAGCACGCTCGGTGCGTCGCCGCCACCGACATCGACTTCACGTCCTTAGACCTAGTAGTCATGAGCTACGAAATATTTATTTTGTCTTACAAGTCGATCAGAATGCAGATTTGTCATTAGTTTCATCTTTTGATCAAAACCAGAATTAAACCTTCTATCGCGTGCATTATGCATGACATAAAAAGAAATTCAAAATTTTTTATTTTATTTGAAAAATCACTCGATGAGATATGGTTTATAATTAGTTAATACATAAACATAAATTGCTAATATTGAATTTTTATAAATAATAGAGAATAATATTTTTTTTATAATGTAATCTCTTTGAAATTTTATTCTTATTTGATGATGTTAGGAAATTCTTAGAAAAGACCAGACCGGAGATTATATTTTATACCTTCAGAAAATTTTATACCTTTAGATAATCTTGAGATAGAAATTCCATTTCCTTGACGAGATAATCATTTTATGAAATTGCTTTATATCATTAAATGATTTTATAATTCTTCTGAGCGATTTCTTTTACAATTTTTTTTATACTAATTTTATTCTAGATACCTTGAAATAACAATTTTTATTAATTAAGAAAATGAAAAATATAAATCAAGAAAATGAAAAAATGGAAAATAGAAGAAACAAAAAAAAAGTATTAACATAAAGACTACATTTCTGGTTAATTTATGTTCTTTTGATACAATTTTTATCCGAGATAGAAAATCAATTTATAAAAATGAAATTATAATTGAAATCAATCGACATTTGGATTCTTCTTAATTTTCCATCTTGATGGCGGCTCATTAACATTAACTGGTTACTTTACTACGGATATGAATATAGAACGAAGGGGAATGCCACGAAGGTGGCTTCAACCGTACATCCGGACGATATAAATGAGAAGTTGAACTTTCATAGTATTCGCTATTAAAGTTCATTCAGTTTCGATATTGTCTTAACCCTTGATCAGAATCATTATATATTAAGATATTAAGAATTTAAGATATAATGATATTATAAAAGAAAACAGTGAATAAACAATAGATTTTACTCCGACAATTATGAATTTTTTAAGATTTTAATTAATTCTTACTTACTAAACTTCCATGCAAAAGATAATAGACTTAAAACTTTTTAAAAGATTGGTGGAAATTCTCGTTCCTCTTCCTTCATGAATGCCTTGTTACTGCAGAAATTTCATTCCAATTATAGAGGATTCGATTTCTTCAATGAAATTTCTCTCTAGATTAAAATAGAACTCGAGAAAAACTGATAATCCTGATTATAATGAATAAACTTTTTGATGCGAAAGTTTCCAATCGTAGATCTGGCCTGAATTCAAAAATACAAAGAGGAAGATGAGAAAATGGAAATGGGTCGCTCTTGATTCAAAGAGAAACTTTCCCTATCCTTTAATATCTGTAAAACTTATTCCGGAAAAGAATAGGAATGAGTAGTGTGATAAGAAAAAAAATAATTCCTTGTTCGTACAACTTGGAAAGGAATTATCTTTCGGTTCGTGCACTCGGCAGGAAACCTAATTTCAGTCTTCCTGTCATGGGAATGTGCTCACCCTGTATTGCATTTTATAAGAATACGAATCGAACACGATTTTCTGCCAAGTTTTCATTCGATTTGTATTGTTGCTATAATTTAGAAACGATTTACAGCGGCGATTGCATCTCTGAAAAAAAATTTTATCGAGTCAAAATTCATAAAAAGATAATAAAAATAGCAAAATGAGAAGGAATGAATGTTTAGAAGAATAGAGAAAAAAGCGTAAACGCAGATTGTGTAGAATCTATTGTTCGAAACAATTGTGGGATTTAGTTTGGAGATGCAAATGAAAAAGACATGATGTGAACTCGATGCAATATTTCTTATCTTTCATTCAAAATAGTAAAAGAAAAGATTGAATCAATCTTAAATTTTCATTGGTTGTTTTCTTTGATGTCATAATGCTTATTATCATGTTCTTTTATAAAAAATTTAAATTCATCGTTTGCAAGTTTGAATTTCACATGTGTTTAATAATCTTAATAATTGAAATTATTAAAAAGAATAATTCAATTATTGTTTATATTTATATTTACAGAATATCTTAAAATACATATCATATGAAGTAATTAATTAATTAATTAATAGATCTCACTATTTCAGTACTTTTATATTTAATAACTTTCACGACAAAAAAACATAAAATATAATAAAATTTGAGATGAAACGAAATGTATAGTTGACGAAAAGTGGTGTTTTCAAGATAAGATATTTGGTATTTACATACGATGGCGTATGGGCCTTTTCATATACAACGACAAATAAGATAAGCACTTAAAATATTAAATGAGTCGAAAATATCGGTATAATTGAAAAGAACGAGGAAATAAAGCAATCAAATTTATTATCAACGGTAAGATGAAAGAAAGATACGAATTCGTAAGATCAATTCCGCGAATCAAAAAGATCAACTTAATGATGTGGTTTAATGACTTTCCCTTTGCTTGGTTACATGTGCACAATTCACCTCACGAAGTCTCCTGGTGCTTTCGACTGCCTGTTTTCGGGCAACGACTCGAATGATTTTATCGTTGCATCCTTCTTCTCCTTCCTGCTTCCTGGGCGTGTAAGCACCGGTTGTTTCGAAAGCGTCCAGTTAACCTTATACTTCGTTACGGAAATTAACAATTCACAGTAGAATCCGTCCCACGAATTCTCCAAAGGTAACTCGTTACTCGTTAATTGTCTTCCTGAAAATTTGCCTTTTTGTTGGTTATACGATGTTGGCATCACTGTTATTCATATCGATTATTTCAATTGTTACATCGATATCTATTCATTCGATAAATTTATCGTATCAATAGAATATACATAGTTGTGACATTGCACAAATTCATAAAGACTAATTTTGTTTTGTTTCATTAATAATCAATGATTATTTATTTTAACAAAGTATTATTAATACCGCAATTGTTTCTGATATTACTATTGTTTCATTAATCCAATGTCAATAATATCGAATTAGTAATATCGAATTAGTAATATCGATGATGTAGAATTATCGATAATATAGTTGTCTTCAATAAAGTTCTAAAGATTTACGATTAACGTAGTCTATAAAATAAAAATTGAACGAAGATAAATTCTCAAGAGAATATTATGTTTTGAATAATGAATCAATGGAGCATTGTTTGAATCGCACGATCGAGCCGGAAACGAGTAAAGAGAATACCAACAAAATTCAACAGAATAATGTTCGATGTCGTGTGACAGGCGGGTCGTGGCCGGAAAAGCGCGAAAATAGGAAGAGGAAGCGAGCGAAGAAAGAAAGAAAAGAGAGGCGGAGACGTGGAAGTGGCGCGTGGCACTACCGAATAAGTATCGAATGCCGCCAGATGTTGCGGTGAAGCCAGCTGCTGCACCTCCGCCACTCTGCCCTCTTTTGCTTTTCCTCGCGGTTTTTCGAGAGAGTCGAGCAGGTACAGACACCGACCAATGCATAGCTGCTTGATGTTCACTGGTGGTATTATTGCGTGTCACTTTTTTTTCATTTATTATTTATGAAATTCAATCGAAATGTCAATTAAACGCTTTTCTTACACTATATATATATATACACGTAGGCCATTTTACTTTGATTTATAGTTCAAACATGGCGGATTATTTAAAAAAATGTCGTTACACATGAATTCTATTTGAATTTCAAGAGATTCTATTTGGATTTGTTTTTAAATCTTTCTTTGTGATAGGGACAGAACACTTAAATAAAAAGTTTAATTTGAATTGTGTTTGTCGTGATACAAGCAATCATAAAGGGTTAAGATAGATTGAATAACTACACAAGTACAATTAGATTGCGTGATGACATTAATAAGGTTTGTTACGAAAGTTCTTGAAAGTTCATTATACTGTCAAGAAAGAATACCGCTTTAACGTAAATTATCTTTAAATGGAAATTTGAAATAAAACTTTTCTTATCAGATTTCTATTTATTTTCTTCTAAAATTTAATAAAAGAGAAAAATGTCTTAATCATGATTAAATAATTTTAATATTATATAATAAAATATTAATTAATATTTTGAATTCATATTGAATGAAAAATTAGTACTACTATAATAAATATTGTAATTAAATGTAAAAAATATTTAATAATTATTGGAAAATAAAGATAATAATAAGTAAAAATAATTGAGAAAAAAAATTTTCAGAATAACATAATTTTATACATTCTTAAATTTATTATTTTCTAATGAATTGATTTGCATTATGTAATTGAATTTATTGATATACAGCAAAATTGTACTGATTATTCATTTATTAAATGAATTTATAAAATAATTAACTCATTCCAAAATAAAATTATTTTACCTGAAAATAATTTTATTATAATTATTTCAAACATGAAGTAATTAAAAGCTTTTGAGGTTATGTTATATGTATTATTTATATATTGTGATTTTTGAAATTTAAATCATGTTCGTTTTTTGCGAAAAAAATTTTTATATATATAAATGGAAACATTTCATGTGTGAATAGAAATAATTATCACAATTTATTTTTATCGTAATCCAATCTACCTCATGAAATACAATGTATTATACTAAATACTTGCATGTATATTATATATATATTTTATATATATATGTAATTTTCGCGGGAATTATGAATTAAAATCTTCATTTTATACAATTTCAATATAATATTGTTGCAATTCTATCCAATTAAATTTTCTGATAAATTTAATGAAATATAACATGTTTAAACCTTTAACATATTCATTGATTAATTTCAGCAGAAATTATCAATTATATTGGAATCAACACCATAATTAATTTTGATAAAATATTGCATTGAACTCAACTTAGTAAATTTGTTAAAAAAAAATTTGTTAAGTAATTTTAAATAATATCATTTAAATGATTTGAAATACATATATATATATATATATATATATATACGATATTAACAAAGTAACATTAAAAAATGATTCTAAAATCATTTAATTTTATTAGTATGAAATATTATATAAAAGTAGTATATATATCTTTCAAATAAAAGAACATTACATACAATATACATTACAATTTTATATTATAATTAAATTATATTCAGTGAAAACATCTGATAACTTTTTCTTTACATAATTGTTTTCAAAACTAAAACCGATTTATGTATCTACCTGTGGAATGAAATCAGAGTAATCATCGTCATCCCTTCCATTTTCTTGTCGTAGAGAACTGGCGTGAAAACCGAAAAGGGACAAGAAGGAAAAGAAAAAGGAGAGCCCTTCGAGCGAGGAGAACAAGATGGGAAGGAAGTGGCGGAGGGGGTCGAAAGCGAATATCCTTCCTGCCGGGGCAACAAACAGGCAGCTGCTCGGATTTGAGCACGTGCTACTACCACCGTGCGCTGCCACGATGAGCCTCGTCTTAGATAGCCGAGGTTGGTAGGTTGCTGGGTAAAGATAGGTAAGTGTTATACACCAGCCTATATGACTGAATATGATCCAGGTACCCAGCGGGACTGACGAGTATTTTCGTGCGTGTTCCGGTGATCTTTGCACGTGCTGCATTTTATTCCTTTTCCTATTTAAATTCACCTCGAACCTTCCTGATCTCTTATTCATCCAGCAACAATTGAGCTACCGTTGAAAATGGCTCTCCTTTCTATTCTGAAGTAACGAATATCATTTCAATTTCATTTTCAATATTCAAAAATTTCAGGTTATTCAGAATTATGCTAGAAATTTTTATGTATTATAATTATTAAAACTTTGGAATGTGTTTGTAATAAATACTGTTAAAATTTTACGCAATATAGGAAAGAAGTGACTTGATGATTTGATATGACTATGTTTTGCACGGAAAATGATCGACGAAGGTTGATCGGTAGGATGATCGGAAGATATTATGCACCAACTCTCTAAATAGAAGGTATACTATATGAGCACCAGATATCTCCAAGAAGGGTACGATCGTGCATGCATGCGTATCTCCCTTCATGGCATCAACTATACGTAAGTTTTCCTTCGGGCTATTAATTCTCTTTCAAGGTGGTCTCTGATTTTGCAATTTTACACCAGTTGAGTTTTATGGGTTTTTCCTTTAGTGACGTGAGATATTAACAGATATTTTCTTAATAATCTATTTATTAATCCAGGCAATGAAATGATGAAAAATTCTAACCTCAAATTTTATCGATTAAAATTTATGTTATTAATTTTGATTTTTTTTTTTTAAAGACTAAGGAAATGATCGAGCTATTGATTTTTAAACGATTATATGTCTAATAGAAAGTTAAATTGATTTTCTGTTGACTGGATAATTAAATTTTCAGCGAATCGAATATCTTCTTATCTGATCATATATCCGTAGACCTGGCGTTATTAATTTAGTAGAAATCTGCAGGTGCTTCTACAGAAATTTCGTTAATCGATCCTACATTCATGTCGACCATGCATCCATAATCAAACCCGCATTCAAAGATCCTTCAAAGAAATTTTATCCGTTTAATTGCAAATGAAAAATACATATTTTATTTTTCTTATTTTTGAATTTTTATATTAATTATAAAATCTGATATTCGTTGTATATGCTGAAAGATCAATTGATTTCAATTCAAAAAAAAAAAAAAAAAAAAATTACCTGAATAAAGGGAATCAAATAATTTTATCCACAGGAATATTTATGAAAAGGATCAATAGAAGATTGTCTTATATCATTTAGCTATATTCAAAAACGCATGACACATTAGTTACAATATTACAAATGATATTTATTGGCCTGGTCCTCCATGGTACCTGATAATCATGCGACACCTGTTACGACACAACACTTACTTAATTGGAGGCTACGAACAGCTGCCCACACGACGAACCAATCACGGCGGTTCGCCTGAAATTCTTCTTTACCCGCGACATCCCTGACGAGCACCTGTTCCAATTCGGAATATATACCGAACAAGGATCCTTGACCAGGATTTCTCACGAAAGGAAAGTCCGTATTGATTGTTGGATTCCGATTTATTCGATCGACAGCCCGTGATTTCGTTTCGATGATGATGATGATGCAATTAATTAGCCAATTAATTAAAACATGCGGCTACGAAATTGGAATATCAATCAAATCCAAATTTAAATTAGAAATATTTAATATTTCGCAATATGTTTCTTTTTTCAAATTAAAATTAAAAATAAATTTCAGTTAAAATTCAGACTACTAATTAGTGAGAATAGAAAACACTTTTGTATAATTATTTTGAACATATTTCAATTTTTATGTTACATATATACTTTTTTTTATCATTTTAGAGTACGCTGTGTGATTTTTTTTACAAACAAGCGATTGCATTTATTACTCAAGTAAGTAAGTAAGTTCTATACGATAAATATCTTATTTCAACATTTTACAAATTCTTATCGCATGTTAGCGCACATACTTGGAGTTTGAACGCATATTTTGCAGCTGTCATAGCGAAGCTGGAAATTTGTCCATCGCATAAAAGCATATCATGCTCAAATATTCGAGGAGGCTGCAGTTAGTTCTTAAGTCCTTTGCTACTTTACAACGACACTGCGTAACGATGCTGGACGGACGGCGGGCACAGCTGTCAACCCGTGTCCACAAGAGGACCATGCTTGAATTTCTATATCGTCCACGATATCATACTCAAATATGTATTCGGTATATATACAACTATGGCGAAATTCCTTGATGTTACCTCACCATGCTTAATGACACGTAAGAGGTCTGCGTATTACACCTGTCAGGCCACCTTTGCCAAAAATTACTCAAATTCTGTCTCTTAAGATGGGACATGGATGATCAACCAGCTGGTGTTATAGCTTTTCACGATTTCGCAATGTTTGATCAACGAAAATTCAAGAAAATTGTTCTGCTTGGGATTAATTGTCAAACTTGAGAATCTCGACAATTAAAATTAAGGGAAGTATTAGTGATTAAATAATTTAAAATTTCTTCAATAAAGATAAATTATTTAATATACGTTAGCAGAAAGGAATATTTGAATTTTTCTCAGAAAAATTTTATAATGTATATCATTTTATTATGTGACATTTGTTTTAGTAATATGAGTATTTCAGCAATTTCACCACTTTTCTAGAATAAAATGCAGAAGTGAAGATGCAACCTGATGCAACTTTAAAGCAAGTGTTATTCACAGACAGAAATCAAATAACAATGAAACGTATATTTCTTACTTCATCCAATCCAATATGAAACTCATCGATGGAAAAAAAAGGTCAGAAGTTGACAGCAGGTAGTTCTTGACTTTACTGGATGCTGAGGTGAGATGCATCCTTGCACAAATTGTTAATAAATGTTTAATTAATTTAATTCCTTCGCTCTACTCTTACTCTTCTTTTTTCTGCAATTTAACAATAGCCGAAAAATTTTATCAATTATTCATACAATTTTATCAATAATATACAATAATATATTTTGACATTAATGTCGATTAATTTTTGCAGATTTCGAAATTTCTATTGTTCATCGATAATCGTCTCGACGAGATATCAAAATCGACGAGCACACCAGCTGCCGGATCTCGAAGATGTACAGAAAAAAAAGCAGAGGAACGTCTTGCGGCATTCTTGAAATGCCCGGCAACGTGGTAACGTTAAACCGAGTGCATGCACGATGGAGGCTGGCACGCGAGTGCTTATCCTTCTGGTAAAATACCAGAAAAGAATTCGTCCGAAGTGGGCCAGCGGGCTCAGCTTTCCAGGCCGTGAGGAGCAACAGATGGCACCGACCTTGCTGCGGATGCTGCGTTAGAACGCTTCGTTTTTCTTTGTACGACGGGCACGTGCCACGTTTCCTTGCCGCCACGACCGATCCGCGACCAATGTTCCGCAAGCCATATTGAAGCGGCCAGGTTAAGCCAGATCACGTCTCGGCTTTCCTCCTTCTGTCGTGAAAAGATTTTTCGTCGATTGAAAAAAAAAAAAAGAAAGGAAGGAAGAAAGAGAGCTGCACTCTGACATCTGTGCCCTGATAGAGGAGCGTCTATTCCGCGTCTATTCCCCGGATGGAAATCCTTACCTGGTTCACGGGGCTAGAACATTCGACTCGCGCATTTGTTTCACCTTCTGTTCACTGCCGATTCGAAAGCAATTATCCGAGGCCTGCGTTTTTTTCCACGGAGACCTTATGGCATCCTGATGATACACGATACCCGGGCTTGAACACGGGCAAATGTAAATTAGGATTCGCGAGATACTTGAGAAGAAGATTTTTAAGATTTTCAATCCGAACGATAAATATTCCGGTAATGCTATCGATACCGGTAATTATTGGTTAAAAATCCGTCGAAGCTACTGTAAGAGTCATCTTACACAATCGTGTTTAAAGAAAAAAAAAGAAAAAAAAAGACGAGCGTTTCAATTGTATTGTAAAAATAATAATCACGTCGTTTAAGATCTCCAGTTTCTCCGCGAATAGATGGCAGGCTATCGTTTTTCTTCATTGATAACGCGATTCATTGAGCGAAAACCTGGCTGAGAGGAAACGCGAGACGCGTCCAACACTCGTGTAAATTCGAGCGAGCGACCGCGGCTGTAAAATTAGACGGGAGAAATAATACGGGATTCGATCGATCTTAATTCGAGGGACTCGTGCCCAACTACAATAACCCGATGATAACGATGCCTTGGTGTCGGATTTGTACGAGTTTTCGATTACTCCGATCGATATCTCCTCTTGCGGTTTTCTACCGCCATTTGAAATCGTACGAACGACCACCTTGTGCTCGAAGATGGTAACTTGGACGCGCAGCAGTTCTTTCGTTTTAATATTTATCATATATACCGATGATAAAATCTTCATCTTTCGAATCGAAGATTTTTTTTTTTTTTTTTTTTAAATCTAAAAAGAATTTACAAATAAGAGATATATCGTATTAATATTTTATAACTTTGTTCTTTCAGATCCCTCCTTATTACAATCATCTTCAATTTCTCTCAAGAAGACAAATCTCTACTCGTTCATTTCTTCCACAAACAACACTACTGAGATATGTATTGAAATTTATCTTCCCCTCGTCAGTCAAAGGGACGCGTGCCGTCTTTTTTATTTGAGCGCATTTTGCGGAACAGTTGCTATCTGTGGACTCTGGAAAAAAAAAAAAAAAGAAAGGAATCGGTTATGATATCTTCTATGCTCGAAAGCGGATATAACACCACTTATATCAGTGCAACCGCGTATTCTGTCACTCACGGTGTATTAGGCGGTGAGTAGAGGAAGGAAGGTGAAGGAGGGTGAGGTCGAAGGGGAAAACGAAGAAGGGGCAGATGGTAGCGTCTTCTTCGCAGCCAAGTGGCAGCGGGCACGCGCCAATCGAGTCCGAAAGAACATCTGCCGCTACGTTCCCAGGAGTACAAGAGAACCACCGACTCGCAGGCAACAGGCCATCTTCTAACAACCAACCAGTCAGTCAGTTTCTTCTTTCCTATGCCTTTTTCACCTACCACCTACTTCACCACGCGCCCGACTTCCCCCTCCACCGGCTTTTCCTTTCTCCTTCTCGTGAGCTTAATTCTCAGGCAGTGCTCCTTCTTCCAGGCCTTCCCTCCTCTTTCCTTTCAGTTTTCACAGATGCTGCATGGATCTTCTAGATATAGGGAAAAGAGGAGGAAACAGTCGGTGGAACAGTTGCCACGTTGATTCTTCACTTGGAAAAGGTGGTTGTTGGCGGACGGTGGGGGAAAGGTGGTCTCTAGGAGGTTTGGCCTGATCAATTTTCTTAACGATGGCACGTGGTACCGTGCCACCACCAGTTTCTTTAGCGGGATTCTGCAGATGGTAGGTTGACAGGATCCATTTTTTTGAGATTTCTTTATTAAGAGAGAGAGATACATATATATTGTTGATATTTTTCAGAATGAAAAATAAAATATATATATATATTTTTCAGAACTTTTAATGGAGTGTTAAATCCCAATAATACCAAAAGAGGATTGGAACAAGTCTACTCTCGCTTTAATCCCATTGTAATTATGCATATTCTTGTTTATTCAAAATTATATAGAAGACAAAGTTGCACGGTGAAATTTTATTTCTATTTTTTATACAGAATGGCAGATGCAAGTACTTCAAACATAAGGAACATTCAATGGCGAATATCCTTTATAGAGCGATTCTTCTTTAAGGTTGACATCGGTTTTCCTTCCACCGATTCTTCTTTTCTTCTCATTTTCCTCCTTCCAATGCAGATGCAGTTTTTCCATTATGCCTCCAGTCTCCTCGTGCCACCAGTCTCCCCATCCCATCCCCCACGGCGACTTTCGATTCTCGATCTTTAGAGATCGCGCACGTGCTCGATACCACCTCCCAGGTTTTCTCTTCCTCCTCGATGATCCTTTGTATCTTGCGAGGAGGAAATCCGTCGCGATCTTAAGCTCGTCATGCACGACGTGGTTCCATTGTGAGGCGGTACAATGATCTGGGGGAGGGGGACCGTAGCCCATCTCGGATTCGAAAGTCTCGAGTGGGAGTTGGAGCGTAAAGACTA